TCTGTAAGTTGAGAGGCAAATGATCCAATTCAGCACTCGAGTTATCCCCGAAGACTTTGGAAAACGAATTAATTTAGAATCATTTTTTGTTAAAATCATGTAAACGGGCTAAAAAACCGGTGGCATAAGTTGAATCTGGCAGACCTCTATGGGCCAGATTATGAAAACTCGCATGATACCTCAAACTTAAAGCCAATACTTTCCTGCCATTACGCAAATGCGATTCTCTAAGTTAAGGTTTTTAAAGTCCTAGTCTTTAAAAGCATCCCATTAAAACTGGTCACTTTGCGATTTAGCAGTCTAATTTTTATTAGTGAGAGTAAGAAAACTCCAAACCTTGACAATAACCTCTCACTAAATGCAAGCGGGTGAATCGGGGTGCAACTAGCTTTACAGCTAATTATGCCCCTGGAGGATGGAATAGAGGTGGAGCTGAAGGTGGACGAAGAGAATAAGTTTTTAATGCCTCTCTCTCCCGGACTCCGTCAAGCTCTGTGTGTCCGGGGGAGGGGGAGGGTAAGGGAGCTTGAGGGGCAGGAAAGGCGAGAGGGAAACGTCCATCAGAGCAACCATCAACCTCGATATACGATAAACAGCTGCCTTCGCCGTCAGCCATGAGCCTGGTGGTGTTGGCGTTGTTGGTGGTGATGCTAGCGCTGGTGGTAGGTGTGACTCATGAAGCTCTTCAATTAGCTACAGCCGGAATGGAGATGGTGATTGGGGTGGTGGTTGTAGTGATGATGGTGATGGTGGGTGCGTTAGTTTTATAAAAGCACACCCACCCTTGCAAACATTTGCGTGCGTACCGTGGGTTTGTTTGAGACAATGACACAAGCAGGCCAGTGTAATTATCTAATAAGAAGTGGTGAATGTGGAGGTATTTTACAAAGTTAACTACAGTGTATTGACTATGGTCATTAGTTTTAACAAGGAATTGGGTGAGTCGCATGTGCTGATAAAACTGGTGCAAAGTGTTTTTCGTCGTAAACGGTATGTGGACTGTAAATTTCATCGGCGTTTCGACCAAAAGTATGGCAGGGTATAAAGGTGCTCCCCCAAAATGTTGTGTAGTGCCAGGAGTCTTATCCGAAGATGAAGGAAGACAATGCTGGGAGAGAATATGCATAATCAACCGACAGTAGGGCTTGGGACAACTGTCATGGCCCGGGTGCCAGTTTACTTAGCGAAGGTACACCCTGGCGGAGCACCTAACTGGCCCCTTTACCACAATTGAGAGTTGAACAAACAGCCACTGTAGAACAAGTCAGCAACTACAACTTCGAAAGCTGAGAATGTTGACAAAGATAAGTCGTGTTGGTGCTCTTATGCGGGTAAGAGGTTTCCAAAGGTTCCAAATCATTGCATGAAATGCATTTAACAGATAGAGGCTTGGAAATCTGGCCTTTTTTCGTGTGAATTTGGCATTTGAAAGGCGAGATAAAATTAAAAGGAGCACGCCACGGTCATTTCGGGTAATTATTAAAGTAGTTTGCATCCTATAGGTAAATTACACTCAACGAATGGTTAAAGGGAGTTTAAAGTCGTACAGTGCATTTGTTCTATCATGTATTTTCTCTAATTGTAGAAAATATTTTCCGCTTTCCCGCTTGTCTTCGCATGTCTCATTCCCCCTTCGTAACGTCGATTTGTCAATGTTTTTTTTTTTTCTCTTAGATATAAGGCAGTACCTTTCCCTATAGGGAGCATTGTTTCATTAAACATTGTTGTCCGAGTTAAATCGGTCCTATATTTCGTCATCCTCGGAGCTTCGTACATCGGTCGACAAAAGTGTCACCTTAGTGAGCATCAGTTTTTCCTCAGTTATGCAAAAGCTTGCAGTGCTAATAGTTTTGCCCCTCAATGATGGAACAGCTTACAAGGTGCTTTCTCTCTGGACTTGCTAGTCGACAAAAAAATTTAATGCTCCTCATTTTTTTAGTTGCTTTTATGCAGATGCCCAGAGTGGGTTTTGAGTTGCCTTTGACAAACTGTGGCAGATTTCCCACCATTCAAATCAGGGCTCAAAAGTTATGGTGACTTAAATTTTCCCCTTTTAGATCTTTGATCTTGTTATGTTAGCTGAGCACATTTTCCTGGCTTGATTCTCCTCTATCTATCTCCTCTATCTTTGATTCCAGGATCACCTACTTATAACCCATAAGTAGGGCACTTTTCACTCGACCATGTGCATCATTGAGGTGGAATATTGACTCACAAGTCCTCGCTGTTTGCATTTGCTTGACAGACCCATTTATTTATTCAAATAAAAGACATCCTCCTCTGCAATGCGAAAACACGAATGTAATACACATCAGGAGAAAGACATCGCTTGACTCTGCATGATTCATCACCTCGCTGGTGTGGTGACTACGCTACTCGTGTCGATTTAGGGAGAGGAGATGAGGGGGGAGGGAGAGGAAAGGCGAAGCGGTGGGGGTTACTCAGCCCTCGGTGTACGCGCTCGCGCATGCATTCATGGGGCATGCCTCATGAATGCAGCCATACCGCGATTGCACGCACATGACGTGTTCGTCCCTCATTGGTCCACCGGTGGTCTTATTGTGACTTTAGGTAACAGCCATACTACTGTTAAAAATGGTCAAAATCGACAGGAATTAACTTTTTTTTATTAGCAACTACAATTGGCTTTTAATTAACTACTCTCGACCATGGTTTCTTACAATGCATTTGTCACTTGCCAGGATGGTTGGTGATCTGCTGGAGCATTCTTTAATCAACCAAAGTGACATTCACTTAGTAGACGATGGTTTGCATACTTGAAGCATTAAAATAACAACCTTAATAAACGTCCTGAAGAGCCCTTCATTATTTTGAAAAGGCAATTAAGGGCTTTCAGCAATATGGTCTTATGCTTTATGTTCTCATTGTCTTTTCAAAAACTTCCATCTAAACGAGCGCCTAATCATCTCTCACTTCCCCGTACGGAATAATTATAAACATTTTTTTGCCATTTATAGGGCAAGAGGAATGTGAAAGTGAAACGGGCTCGCTTTACTGTCCGGTATGCGGACGTGTCTGGACCAATGCTTTGACCCCCACGAATCTCCCCGAGGGCGGAACGCGTCGGGTGCCCCCCTCTACCGCCGATCTGCCCGCGCCTCCGCCACCTCACGAGGTCATCCCCGCTTGGGCGCCGGTCAGTGGGGTGGAGAACGCGAATCTTCTTCTTTTGCAGAACCAAATTATCCCCGGGCTAAGGAGTAGTTTGGCTGTGTGGAAATCGGTCTTTTCAGAGGAGGTGAGTGAAAGTTTGGGGTCTATTTTAAGGCTAAAATTGAGGCCTTTTTTGTATGAGTTAGGTCAATTTGAGATGGTAAGATTTATTATTTCCAAAGAGGAAGAGTATCATGAACCTTTTCCATGTAGTAATTATAAGTCGGCGTTTTAGTCGCCTGACTATTCAATCCCAACGTCACTCCTCAAATATGGAGAAATCTGTTCAGTTTGAGGTAGAACAAGCTGGTCAGTCCTTACCCCGATTAGCTAATCCTAATCCTGAACTTTAGACATTTGGAATACCTTTTTCAAGGCACGTTATTCAAAAAATGCATGCAGTAAACCAATACAATACGTCGTTTAATCGGAAGAGAAATTGGAGACTATTCAACTCTTCAGGTTGCTATGGGGATGATTTCGCCTTACTGGCACGTACGTCAGAGTGCTTTGCGTCAAGTTGCAAAAATCACCATTTGTCGCGTCCTGATGGCACGGAAAGCAACCACAACGGCAACCACTGCTTCCCCCTATCAACAGCAATCGGAAGGTCCTTCCACCACACCTAACAATCTGGGCTGCGAGTCTCTTCGAATGTCCATCCGACTGATCCAGTACCTTCTAAGCGATCCAGCCGACGAAGTCTTTATTGCTTCCTTGGTAAGTTGACTCCATTTTTGGAGGAGAAGTAGTATTCTTCAGCATGTATTAGTAACAAGTTGGATAAAATAAGCAAAGTGTGCAGCACTCAAGATTTCCAACGAGGCGTATTTGAGGTGTCTGGCAATGCTCTCCCGGTATGCATTATTTAACACCCTTTCAGTGGAATTTATGTGCTTTTACAAAAGTCAGCTGAAGTTATTTTTTTTTTGACAGTTTGAGAGGTGAAGAAAAGTGCTTTTGAGGCGTGAAACAGTCTCTTCGTTTCCTTGGGCACATTTTTTAAGCTCTTTGGTCACAAACACACGCTTGAGGCTGCGAACGTGTCTTCTTCTCAAAATGAACTAATTAACCAAGCCAAAAAAGACAGAACGGAAACACAAAATTTGTGAACACAAGGTGAAGGAGGTGGAGAACAAAGGACCGGGTGGTGGTGTTGATGGTGGTTAGGCTGGTTAGTTGAACGAAACATACTCCTTCAACTGTACCTGCAGATGATTAATGACGGCTCGGCGTGCTTTGTAAACGTGTGTGCTGGGACAAAAAAGCATCTTTCACACACACATACACACAAACCATCTTCTCCTCTTCCTTCTTTTCGCCCTAATTGAATTTGTGCGTTCGCGCGAAAATCATGAGGAGTCCGCAGCACGGTGTTGTGAGCTTCCTTGGGCAGGCGGGCAGGCGGGCGGGCGGGCGGGCGGGCAGATGGGTGTGCGTTAACCTAATTCGCCAATTCTGGTGTTATTTCGCCACCCACTCCCCTCCTTCTTCCTTTTACCGAAATCCCCAGGGCATAAAATGGACTCCGTAGTCGGGGTGCTTTTATTTTTTTCTCTTTTCTTCTGTCTCCCTACTGCAATTATCCAGGGATTATACGCACACACACGCACAAGTAGGAGGGCTTAGTCACTGGCCTGTGCGTGTAAATAAATAAATAATGCTAATCAAAAGCATCGTCTAATTAAAAAAAAATATGTACGTCAGTGCGACGTCTAACTAATTTTTCTAAAAGGGCTGTTAATTTTCTCATTGAAACGTTAAAAATGAGTTATGCATTTGGTGCAGTTTGGACTTCTTTTCAGGGTTTATAAATTGACTCACAGTTAAAGTGCCTCGGCTTCTTTATTAGTAAAAGTTAATAAAAAAAGATAATCACTTTTGATTTTCAATTTAACTGAGTTTTAACATTCACGGGTGTGAGACTACGTGGAGTGGTGCTAGTGATGACAATAAACATTTCAATGGAATGGAATTTTGAACTTATGCGCCGCCACGAAATACACTTTCTAGCTACTTTAGAGGTTGTGTAGATTATACAAAACGTCTTTTCCACTTCATTTAAGTTAAGTGCTTTTATAACTTGATCTGCGTGAGTAAGCGACTCTAAAAACTTTCGCAGAGGGGATGGCAAGTCTCCATGGTAAGCTTTAAGTACGGCTAAGAAAATCACGGGAGAATTTCGGTTGAATAATTATTTACTAGGAAAGAAAATTAAATTGGTCTAGGGGTACGATGAAAGCGCTGCTGTAAATCAAGCAAAGGTTACTGCTGTCATACAGGAAACATAACATCTAATCCCGTGCGCTTTGTCTCTGCCGGTGAATGACGCGACAGATCGCTATGTGATAAGAAATATGACTACTGCACGATTCTTCTTTCTTTTTTTCTAGCTCTCTCTGACTAACAGGCACCTAAACTTTCTTTTCAGTTTACGGTCTATTTCACTACGCTTTATGCTACCAAATTTGGGTCCCTCTTAGTGTTTGTCTTTCATTGGAAATAACTGTATTGTAGCGCTCCGTGACTTCCCCGAAGACGAAAGACAACGAAGTACCCGAGAAAATGATATAGATATATATTTCACAGACAGTTTGGTTGGAGACTACTGGTAAGGCCGAAGGCCAGCCTAAACGGTGAAGCATCTAAGGTAAACAAACAATTAATGCATTACATACTCCCTCTTCTCTTTTGAATGTGGTTAAGAGCGCTTCCTCTGGCAAACCTCCCGCGACAACCGTTACTGCGTAATCAGTAGTCTAAGGGTAACCGTGCGAGTCGTTAAATTTGTATGCAACCAAGGTGATACTTGACCGCAAGGTCGCTGAGTCCTGCTGGCAATTCTACTGGATCGGGAGTTTTATCCCGCATGGGGATTGTATGGGTGGACGGAGGAATGCGATAGCCATTATGTGTGTACACCGTTAGTCGTAGGGACGTTGGCTCAAACGCAGTCATGCAACAAAGGACAGGATTCAACATAGTTCTGTGGGGGTAGGATTTCGCTTTCATTCTCCCTTGCCTTGCTTTTCTCGCTTTAGTGCTGCCCAGTTATATGCATCTGGGTTCTGTCCAGTTAGTTGAGGAATGGAGGAGATATCGCGAGTTTGCATATTTGATACCCTCATACAGGTACGGTGAGCAGCTCCGTAAGGAAATTTTTCACGTGATTCACGGTTAGTGTCGCTTTGGACACTAATTGCTTTCCTGCAGATCACGAAAATGGGGTATTTGCCGAAGGAGAAATGTCCTTTAGGATGAGGCTTAGTTTCTATTGTCACCAATGTGGTACCTTGAGACTTTCCTGAAGGCAGAAGAAGGCACAATACCCCGGCAGATTATGTATTTCTACCATTCAGAAGGGGTTGGAAATATTGTCACGGGCCAGAGGCCCGACCACCCGTCGAGGATGCAGTGGCGAAGACCCTAACTGACTCCCTTACTAAAAACGAGAGTTAGACGAGCAATTAAAGTATTTTAATTATACTTCTTCTCGGTATCTCCTGTTTTAACCAGTAAAACGCGAAATGTTGGGATTTTATGAGTAATGTAATCGGAACACGAGGACCGGTTACCAGAGCCTTTAAGCCATATCTGAAAGCCGGCGCCGTCGACGGAAGATGGTGCACTCGCACAACCCTTAAAAATATCAAAAGTCAGTTGTTCGTATTACTCCTGATTCTTCCATGGGAACGCGGGGTTCCAGGGTGATTAGTCTGTGTAGCATTCCTTGATAAAGAAATTCCCCTGACTGATTGGAGGGAGTATTTAACATTCCATGTTGCATGTGGTCTGACTCCACGTAGATTTTTCCTCTTTCCACTACCTATGGCAGAATAAAATTAAATGCAAAATGTCACTCTTATGCAAGTAAATTACCACAGCAAATTTTTTTACCGGACGTCTGGATGTCCCGCCTTTTTGTAGCGAAAAAAGTAATCCGCGGCAGTGATGACCAACATCCCCTTACTTTGTACACTGGGGAATTTGTTTTAAAGATATCGAAGTGGATTTTATACCCACATGAATTTTGATATTTTGATTTTCAGATATCGGTAAATTGACATATCATTTTAAAATCTTCACGTCTTTTTCCCCAACTTCCCATTAATTATTAAAGAGCTACTCTACTTGACACGTGGCGCACTCTTCCTCCTTTTTTCACTCATAACGTCGTACTCGCCTCTCATCCGGCCCATCTAAGACTGCTCACTTTTGAATCCGTCTAGTGTGCGTTCCGAGAAATTCTGGGTTACCTCATTTGTCTCGACACGGAGACCATGACCGCATTGCAACGCACAATCGCGCCAGTCCTACGACGGTTGCTTATATTTGTTGGTGGCTACCTAACACCCGGTCACGTGCCCATCAACAACGTGGCCAACTTAAACCTTCCAACCGCCACAGCGTCAACTGCGGCGACAGTGGCCGAGAGCGGAGCAGCGTCAGTCGATGTGACTCTACCACCACCGCCGGATCAGCATCGACGGGCCAATTTAGCCTTGGTCACTCTCGTAGAGTTGGCCAAGGGTCAGGAGGGCGAAATGTCCATCGGAAGGGACACTAGCAACGGTTAGATTTTGAAAATAACCTCATTGTTACATTTTAGACTAAGGTGTGAATGCTACACTTATACATTTAATCCGAATAGTTTTACTTGCGTTGATTTTTCCTCCTTACAAATGAGATCAAGTTGCATGCCAAATGAATAGGGGCACATGGTCTGACACCAAAACCATGATTTTGGACGTTGAAGGGCCGCAAAAATACGAATTTGTTGTGCATTTGGAAGGGTTCTGATTTAACAGGGTCAAGAGGTAAGAAATACAGTCCACTAATGGATATGTGAAAACAGTCATTAAAAATAAGTAGGTTGGGTAGTAAAATTTGGGGATCAGTTTATAAGTATGTTTTATAATCTACCAAGCACATGTTTCTGTTCAGGCGTTAAAAAAGGTTTTACCATTTCATTTCAGTTATTTGCTGCGCTTTTGAACAAAAAATCGCTTTGCTGCTCTTTCTGTGGACTGATGGAGCGTCGCATTTCGTTCGTTAGTTCTGCTGAAATCACGCAACATTACTGCTGCTACTGCTTTTTTTGTTTTAACAAAATCGTCGCAACATCAAAATTAGTTAATGCGCAAACCTTGTTAATTTGACACTCGCAGTGCTTACTACAATTTCATACTTGGCATTGTTTCACTTGACTTAACAAAACATTGCTTGACTTTCGCATACTCCTTTTATAAAGAAATTTACTTTGCTGAAGGACAACTTGAGAGAACCACATTAACAACATAACTCGTCCATTCATTGCTTGAGGTAAACAACTCGACTAGTTAATTTCCCGTGCGAAAGTGCCCTTTTGTTGTAATGCCTTGGATGGACGGTAAATGTCAGGCTTGGTATTACTTTGGTCACCGCTCCTGGCCAACCTCCCGCATGGGCCACATTACAATGCACGAGTCAACTTTGCCGGTCATTGAATTTCCACGCAACTAAGGAGTTATTTCACCACAACGTCACTGATCCCTCTTAGCAATTCTACTGTATGAAGAGCTTTGTCCTGTGTGGGAAATGCATTCGGACACCGGAGGGAATGTGCTAATTATTACACGTGTCCAAGGCTATCTGTAGGCAGACTGACCTAAAATAGTGGTCATGTAGCAAAGGGCAGGATTTGGCGTAGGTCCGTAAGGGTGGGCTTTCGCAGCTATTCCTTTTGCACATTATTCTCACATTAAAGCTGTGCCTCATGCCTTTCTAGATCCCATCCAATTGATAAAGAAGTGGGCGAGGTATCGCGAGCTCGCATATTTGACGTCTCTATGCAGAAATGATATGCAGCCCCATAACGAACTGCTTTAGATGGTTCACTGCTAGTGTTGCATTAGTTGTTAGCAGCTTTCCTGCAGATCTCGGTGCAGCAATGGTTACCGAAAGTAGACTTCAATTTCAGGTCTCCGTTGGTGGTTGTGTCAGATTCTTTCATCCCCAACATAGGCACATTGTCCGCCCCGCTAAGGTCTATCACCCAGCAGCAGAATTCAATGCACATGTCCCTTAAGATAGAATTTGTTTTTCACTGCCATCAATAGAGCGCTCCGAAACTTTTCTGAAGACGAATAAAGGACTTGGGGCTGCTGGCATGACTAAGGCCAGCCCACTTTACGAAGGTACAATGGCGGAGCACCCAAGTGGTTCAATTACCGAGACAGAGAGTTAAGCGAATAACCAACGTTTTGCAGTTCTGTCTGCTTTGAAGCGCAGTTCGCAGTCATTAATCACTAAACATTGAATGCCCTGTTAATTCCTCTACCAAGTCTAGCTTACATCGAAGGTGGTATGTAGGAGGGAATACCCACGAACGCGTTTGAACAGGGAAACGTGTTGATGGCGCATTTGCCCTGCCGAAACGGACATTTTTACAGGCTTAATGTTTATGTGCGCCTCCTCAAGTGCTGTTTTCAACTTTGCATGTTTTCCCGTTGGCTAACAATTAACCAATGAGTCGCAAAAGGATAGGGAAGACACTTCCCTCTCTTGGTTGTGAGTTAACTCTAAGGCCATGTTAGGCGGGTAATTTTGCTCCCTAAGCGTACCTGTGAAATAAAATTGAAAATGGAGTAAGAATTATGCGAATAAAATGCATGCTTTCTCCATGTAGATTTTGTTATTTGCAAATATGAAAGTGAGACTAAAAGTTTGCAGAGTCGTATTTTCATTAACCGAAACACTTATGCAGCAGCGCACCGAGACTTCGTCGAAGACGAAAGAAGAAGCAATGCTGGGGCAAATAATGCATATATGCGACTGACAGCAGGGCTTGGGGCTACTAGCATGGCCGGGAGGTCAGCCTTCACAGCTAAGATATAATAAGCGGAGCTCCTGAGTGGCCCGTTTCAAAAACCGTGAGCTAAGCAAACAAATAAAATAAGGTAGTGTCTTAAAGGCAGAGACTTTTGCTAAATAAATGTTAATTTAACATTTACATATAGGTAAGCTTTGTTTCCATATTCTTCACAAATAATTCGTTGAAAATGTTGTTTGTGAACTCCAGCGAACTTCGTTCGCGGTAGTTTTTAGGTAAATCACACAGATATCACCTCGTTGACAAATTTATGATGGATTGATTGGTAGAGAACTTTGATAGTTACTACTGGCTTGAATTGTTGTATTAAGGGTGGTTTTTCTAGCTGATTTGCGACAAAAGTTTTCCTTTTCATCCCCTTTGGGAAGGTGGATGAGTCATCCAACTGCCGTTGCCATTACAACACCCTTGAGATACTTTGCTTTCTCTAAAACAATAATAAATGAAACTGAAGATAAGAATTTTCACCTTCTGATATCCAATCAGTTGTCATGCTTGACTTAATCTTTATCGACCTTAGCTCCTGTTTTTGGGTCACAAGATTTCACTTTGGATCAATATATCGGGGTCTTGGGCTACGTGACTGCATCGTCTGCTGCCTTAAAGAAGCACTTAATGGGTGGACAATACAGCAACGGACCAGCATATCGATCAATGCCCGTACCTTTGGATCACGCCATTCCAGCATCAATCAATATATTGATTGCGCCCGAGTCAGGTGGCTCCTCTGCCTACTGCCTTAAAGAGGCGCTGACGTTTCATTACAACAATTTGTTCACCACATTGCAATGAAGTCTCAAGGGACGATGCTCTGACACCAGCAGTGCTGACTCTGGGTCGGAATTGGGCAAGATACCATGCCCTGCAGTGCCAATAAGGAGGCGTGATTATATCTTATTTTACCAATTTTTCCAGTTAGAAATATGTCGTCTAATAACAACCAGAAAACAAACCAAGTACCCTTTCCTCTTTGTAGCGGAGGAATGCATGTCCATCAGCGGGTTGCCACATATGGCACACTTTCTGCTGCGTTCCGCCAAGTTTCACCAAACTCACCTCGTGGGTCGGCTGAAGCTCTTGGAGAAGCTGGTGGAAATGCACCGTGAAACAGTTGCTAAGATTAGTACTGGTGACGGTGTTGGCGAGGCTGTTGTTACCAAAGACGTGGACAACAAGCGCATCAGTTACCGTCACCTCTGTTCCAGCCTCATCTTCACTCGACGTCATGTCTACCCCCCTGAACAGCCCGTCTTTCCGCACAATCTTGTATCTGAGGATGCTATGGCAACGCGATTTCGAAGGAATCCCACAGCATTTACAAACGTCACTGGATCCCCTCTTAAGGTCATGGGAGTGACTGGTCAACGAGCCGAGGAGGTGCAGATTAGCTCTTTTGCCTGTCTCATGGAAGCCAACATCAAAGCCAGTCGACTTGTAAGTTGCTTTAAAGCAAAAAAATATTCAAAAAGATGGACTCTACATTGTTTATCAATCGCTACTAGTCACTGAAAATGGTGAGATTCTCCCACTTATTGTAGGCCCGACGTGTATTCATCACAGTAGCGCGAGCTCTGCTTCAAGAGCCCCGTTCTTCCTCCTTCTCCTCATCCAATGGCAGTTCTCTCCCCGATGCCGAGAGCTTTGTCAGTGCTGAAATCAAGCTCCTCGATGTCAGTCTGGCAGCCAAACTACGTGCCAAATTAGCCGATCTTCTTAACACCAACACCACCACTACCAGCAGTTCCGCAGCCACTATCACCGCATCCAACCCCATCAGCGCCAGTGGTACCGTAACTGCTACGACCACCACTGTAACTACTAATATTACCGCCGTCTCAACTACCACGCCGCCTCAACCACCACCACCGCCCGAGCATGAAGTCCCACCCGTTCCCCCACCTCGGCGCTTTTCCCAGAGCAAGACACCTGCTCGAGCCCCGTCAAATAGCACGAGGATAATTACTCCCAACGGTGTTCGAGTTGCCCTTGAACCCGCTTACGACCACGTAGCACTCTCGGAAACCGCTGGCGTCTACAGTAGCAGTGAGGATGAGGAGGATGGAGAAGGTGGGGACGAAGAACCGCTGGAAAAACTGGATTGGGAGGAGGTGAGAACAACACAGCAACCACAGCAGCATCAGTATCAAGGAAAAAGAGAGCCTGTTAAGTATACAACATCAGCCTCTGTCCCGGTCACTCCAAGTCCAGCAGAACTGTCAGCTCTGAAAACGGCCCTCCGACGAGCCGCCTGGTCACCAGTACCCCTGGTGACGATTCCGAACCTTGCACAGGCGTTGGACGCTAAGGATCCACTGAAAAGCGAGTACCGATACAAAGAGGGAGTTGATTGGTTGCTAGGACCCTTTCTTGGCAAGGGTGCATTTTCGCTGTGCTACCAAGCCCGCGACATTAGGACGGGCACGTTGATGGCGGTGAAGCGGCTGCGGTTCGTGGGTGATTCCTCTGCCGAGGCGATGGAGCAACTGGCGACGGCTAGGGAGGAGGTGGAGATAATGCGACGACTGTATCATCCAAACGTCCTACGTCTTTTCGGTATCGCCTACAACCCCGAGAAGAAGCACGTGGACATTTTCGTGGAATGGATGCCGGGGGGAAGTATTACGAGTTTACTGAATCAGTATGGCGCATTCACAGAACCCGTCTCCTTAGCATACACTCTGCAGGTGGTTAGGGGCATCTCTTGTCTTCACAAACACGGTATTCTTCACAGAGACTTAAAAGGTACAAATTTATACCGCTTTTGACGTGTTGTTTTAAAAACTTATGATAGACTAAACAATAAGATCGGACCAACAAGTGGAGATAATTTTAAGGTAGACTAGTGAGCGCAAAAGAAATACTTAAAATAAATTACCTACCAATACTTAAAACCTACGCCCCATCAAGAAAACTTTCTCACAGCAGTTAATAGCAAATAATTATGCAATGGACACATTGCAAAAAATTCTACCAATAGTGTACCTACAGGCAACATACCCAGTTCCACACGATCCTCAGAACTAGTACTAATGTGAAACCAAATATTTCTTTTTATTTAATGCTTTTATTTTTGTCAGGAGCAAACTTATTGGTTGACTGCACAGGCAGTGTCGTGCGTATATCTGATTTTGGTGCCTCCGCACGACTGGGCAGTCAGGGCAGTGTGGCAGGTCAATTTCAGGGTCAAGTTATTGGCACTTTCGCCTTCATGGCTCCGGAAGTAGGTCCTTGTGATGCACGAATTACCCTTGCTACTTATTTTTCGTCAGTAGCAAGTTTGCATTTTCTGCATCACAGGTGCTGAGAGGCGAGACGTATGGGCGGGCGTGCGATATTTGGTCGGTCGGCTGCTGCTTGCTGGAGATGCTGAGTGGAAAACCTCCCTGGAATGATTCTCGACTTACCAATCAATATGCCCTGATGTTTACAGTAAGCATTGAGACTCTGACTTAGTGCGCATGGTCGTTACTTTACGCCACAAATGGGTCATAGATAATCACAAAACTATTTCCATATTTACTTTAAAGAACCTCATGCTGAAAAGATCATACACGAACGCAAGCAAAAATTGTTCCAGCAAACTTTTTGGTAATGAAAGACTGTTTCAGACTGCTAGACCCTTGGAACACCAACAACCGTAGCTCGTGGCTGACCCCATATTTCAAATCCAGATAAATATATTTCGTGGAAAGCTATTCATTTACTTATGCACATTTTCTCTTCATGCTAACAGATTGCGTCAACTGATCAGCCGCCCTCTTATCCAAAGTCAGTCAGCTCCTCAGTCAAGCAGTTTCTGGACTCTTGTTTCAATCGTATTCCGGAACAACGACCCACAGCTCATCGTCTGCTTCAACATCCCGTTTTCTCGGCCATCGTCTCCGCTCCAGAGCCATCCACGAAGGCGTCGTGTACATCGAAGACCGCCAACAGCAGCCTCTCAAAGAGCTTCACTGCTGTCAGTCTTTCGAGCAGTTCGTCGTCACGTGCCACTAGTCGTCACCGCGCTCTCCCACCTGTTCCCCACGAGAGCTCCCTTCCACCCACCACCTTGTCTCCTCTGACGAATTACGACAAACTCGTCTCTCCAGTACCCACAACTCGGCAGCAGCAGCAGCAGCATCAGGTGGTGCCCCTGCAGCGCAAAATTTGCCGAAACCAATGATTTAGAACAATCCACCTACTACTGCTACTACCAATGGGATTGAGACGGACATTTCAAAGCATACGGCAGCGTCCTCTCAGTCTTTGTTTGCTTTGTCTTCACCACTTTTCTTCAATCCCTCTGAATTTTCGTTAAGGGGGGAAACAGCCTTCCATTTTTTATGACATTCTCAGCATTTTGTCACCCTCATGCATTTCTGCATTCCGTCAATTTTTTGTGTGGTTTTATGCGTGTGATTTTTGCTAATCAACATATGCATACTTACATAAAACATTAATTTTAGGATTTTATCAAAAGCTTATTTTGTTCCAGCATCACCTACACTGCTGCCAACAAGCCAAACTCATCCGACAGGGTTAATATACATTCTCATTCTGCAAACGGTTTTTGCTGTTGTTTCTTAGCAGCGCCATTTTAGTTGGAGTCAAGGTTAGGATTCCGGTTAAGGGTAGAGTCAGGGCGAGGTGGAGTAGGGGTTGGGGTTATGAAATAGAGTTAGGGGGTGGAGAAGAGACCGCTGCACTGCCCTAGTTCTACTTAGTAAATTTTTAAAAGACCAGGCCACTACGCAGATATCGTGTTCAGGAGATGATTGTTTCAGAGGAGCTTCACCTTACACAAGAATTGCATTAAACTGCTAGCCAATGACTATAATATGCAATTTAAGCTCAAAAGCGGCGAAATTTATATGACTGCACCTTTTTTGGTCTAAATATCAGTGCTTTTTTCTAAATAACTGCTCATTGCGCTGTCATTGTTGCAGGGAATTATTGCTCTGCAGGATCTAAATATGTTCTCCTTTGTCGCCAGGACTCCTAACTGCACTGTCTAAGGGCCTACAGAATGCGAGTTTTCTAGTATGTAGGGCAGAGTCTACCGACACAAGTATTAAATTAACGCAAAATGCAACTTTGTTATGCAGAAATCACGAAAATGCTTGAGATTGTAGAGTAAAACTAATTATCGTCTGAAATATAGACATTGAACCTATTAGTGTGCAAAAGGCAAGACAACGCATGATTTACAAATATTTCTTACCTGAGTAAGACGCAAAGTAATACAAAGGCGAAAATCGTATTTGACGGAGTTTCGTACTGTTCTCATGCTCATCAGGTAATGCTGCATACGAATCGGATGCATTATGGCCAAAATTAAGGTCCAGAAACGTCATCGTCACGAAGTGGGATTCGGTATTTAATAATAGTTCCCATGTATATATTGTGATATAGCACCTTTTAAGACAAAAACCTAACATTAAAAACCAATGAAGTGCCAATTAAACCAGCACAAAAGAAAAATGAGACAAAAATGATCTTGAAAATGACGAGTATTAAAAATTTACTCAAAAAATTTTTCCGCATTGCAACTTTGACTACTTTTGTCACAATAAAACTTGTAAAATAATGGTTGCATAGCTCTCGGTTTTGGTAAAGAGAGACCTTGAAATTGGCCATTGTATCAGTTTGGACAGGCTGACCATCGGGTAATATGTATAAATTCGCCTTTAAGGAAGAATCGAAGGTTCACAGATTATCTTTCCGTAATGACACCATACACATTCCGAAGAGTAGCGATTAGACAACAATAGTAATAAAAATCTGCGAACAGAACTAATAAAAGTGCCACAGCAGTTAGCATAATCACCACCAACAAGGCCACAAAAACAAAAAAACAATCATTATCACAACGGAATTCTTCCTCACATACTGCACTATATAAATCATACTAAGAAGCAGCATCACCACTGTAATTAAGTTGGCAAAAGAGTAAAAAAGTAGGTTGAATTAATTGACAACCGGGAGGAAAGAAAAGAGGTGGGAAAGGAGAAGGATAGGTGTTGGACATCGTTGCAAATACCCACCACCTCCCTACAAGTAACTAGTAGGGGCAACACCTACAAGTTCGATAATTAATTGTGCCTCTCCTCCTCACTTTCCATTTGTGTGCTCATTTTAGTTCTCTCACAACAGCCATGTAAGAAAACCCCCATTCACACTACATGGCAGCAAATTCGTATACCCGTTTTAGGCTGATGTAACACTGTGTTGACAAAGAACCAGAATTTCATGGTCTAATTAAACTTAAAATTGGTACTTTAGTTAGCTTTCATTTTGGCATAGTCCAATTCACTTCCACCCCAGGGATAAGGTCAAGTCATCAAGGGATATGCTCTTACATGTTATACCGATTGAGTACCTACAAATGCTCTCCCAACACCCACTATCATTCATTAATTGCTATGAATCACAAAGGTGGAGATAGAGCAATGCGTGTATAAGAGCGTGCATTCATTACGCTCGTCATTCTACCACTTTGCAATTTGCGCACCTAAACATCGTAGCCACTAAATTAGCCAAATCTCGCATTCAATTCATCTTGTCAGATGTCCTCTCTACAGGGTGCAGAAAGTTATTTACACAGGCGCGCACTGACCTTGTAGGCAGGATTGGTTTAGTTCATGAAAAGGAAAGGTATAGAAAAAGAAATAGCTGCGAGAAGAGTGGGCTAATAGTAGTGCCAAAAGCTGCAACAAAACTTTTTAAAGAATTATATTTAACTTAATGTTGTGAATATACATCAATTTGCAACTTTCAATTGTTGCAGAAGTTGACTGCTGTTCAAATTGAGAGAAATACTTCAATTGAATAAAATATTTGCGTACAAAAAGTGCTCTTTTGCAAATTTTAATATCTTCAAAGAAAAGCACGGGTGGCTAGAATCATGCATGCACATAAATACATGGATTGCTACGGTGGGAAAGAAGGCTAAACGAGAGCAGGAACCGAGACTTACTAAAGTAGACAGGGCGTGCAAATTCCGCCCTTAGCCGGAACGCAGAAAAGCGGCGAGTGACACGCACACCATCCAAGTCATCAAAGGTAGGTGATTAAGTAGCACCACAAGAGCTGACCACAACAAGTTGGGTGGAGAATGAACTAGTGGAGGTGGCCATTAACAACGCCCTCACTCCTTGTCTCATCTGAAGCTAGTACGCAGGGCGTTGTGGTTTACCCGCATCTTCACCGACGGCGTTGCCCCCAGAGGACACATCTACTTCTGCCAACCTAGCCTCGGAGACACCGCATTCAAGGCGAATGATTTACACAAAGTTTCCTTTTACTTGCCCTTCTCCCATCCTTCAAATAGGGTGACAGGACCATCTGTAAAAGTTTTCTTTGGTGAATAGTGGAGAAAAATTGAATAACTAAACTTAGTGACTCCATTATTTTTTTCAAAACTTAATGTTCAAATGATAGAAGTCACGAGATTTTGTCACATTTCTAAAATATGATAAACATTATTTCTCCGACCTTTTGAGCAGATCTAAGGTGCCTCATCCTTAAACTCCACTCTCAAGCCGCGTCGTTTTTGCATCAATTTGGATCGAGACGAACTTGCAACCGATGACTATGGCCGTGCAAAGGTTCTGACTAGGTCAAGATCACACAAATAAAAGAGGTGGAGAACCCGGTCACATAAGACAATTTTTTATGCGTCAAGTTACCATTAAAAGCTACATTGAGTAAGGACAAACTCAACGGTAGACATTTAAGAAAATTCGTCCGGCTAAGTGATCCCACAAAGTATTCCAAAATTACCCTTTGGACAGCTGATGGAATTCATTGATTTTTCCATCGCATTGAAATAGTGCATAGATAGAGCTGCCAAAGTTTCAAATTGCTCGTCACGTGTTAGGCGCTAGAATGTCGTCTACCTTCAAGCCCCATGAAACGGAGACGTGCTCCCAACTCGGTAAGTACAGCACTGTACTAAAATAGTCCCTTGTTTATCAGTTTTCGACGAAGAGCCGGGACCAATATTTCTACTTGTGAGTACTTTAATTAGCTCAAGTGATAAGGGATTAAGGATATTCCGAGAAATACTGGACAATGCTTGGCTGTGATTACGGTGGATGGATCAATGCAGCCAGTTGGAGCAGTCAGAAACTACATTCTCAAGAGGAGATCCATCATTGAGTCATACAGAGGTGAGATCTTCGGAATAGGTGTTGAAGTAAGTGAAAGGGAACTGGATGATCTGAAATGCTCATGTACCTGACAATACTGGATAATGGTACAACTTTGACTGTAATGTAGGATACAACGCCGTTGCGTGGTTTCTGGACCTCTCAGACAACTCTCATCATTTTGTCTTTTGACGACGTCAAGGGCGCGAACGATCTCTTCCAAGCCCTTCACCTAAAATCCGAATTTCCACAGCACGTTGAATACTTTACAGTCAACCTTAGTTATCCAACAAAGTATGTCAAGGGTAAGTATGTGTATTTGAGCCTACCGAATAAACGCTACTCAAATATTTATACACGGAACAATCATTCCCTTTTTAGACTACCCACTTCTAGAGATTAGCTTCTATGATGTCCGTTACATTCAACGCTTCAACTGGTTTATTTATCAACTACCCGAATTGGCATGCAAGAACAATGGGTACTTAGTTGCAGGCACACCGAAAATAATCCAGAAATTGGGTATGTCCCGACCGAACTACTGTTCAATCACTCAATGGAAGACCGTTCAAGAGTTCAAAAGCTTTCGTGAACAAGGTAGGTGGATGTCAAAAACACATCTTCACATTTAGCCATATGCTTATTTGAGCAGTCACAATCTGCTTGCCTCACCGAAGCCCTTGTGAAATTGGACATCGGAACATGCGGTCCCTTCTGCAGTTAATAATATCTGCTGATACAGTTTGTTATTCCGACTCACATTCTTCCGCAAAGAAATCCATGAAGTTAACCAATTTTAGAGAACTGCAAAGTGTGCTAACCACATTTGATAGAATTAAACAAAAGGATAACATTACCAAACCAATAAAATGATTTTACACATAAGTGGTACGGCTTGAAGTAAACAGGGCCCTAGTGCACTGAGATCATTGCGTACGGAAAGCGAGGGGGCCAAGAAGTGATGGACTACTTTTTTACCTAAGATTAGTTAAAAACCAACATCAGAATAATGTGCGTTGGGTTCTAAATGCTAAAAGTTTGCTAGTTTGCTGTTCTGAACTAGGTTGCTACCTAAGTCTATGCGAACAGTCCGCAACCCAAATGATAGGAAGTTCTCTGCGTCAGGACAATCAGTTCACAGTTTAATACTAAAAATCATGGCATTAACGTTAAAGAATTCTAAGTAGTCCTCTTACCTAAATTGGGAGCTCAACTTCGTACACGTAGAGAATCGACGCTGTGGAATCATTCGCCTCAATGCTAAGGGCGAACCTAACCGACCGAAGTTTAATTGAAGTCTCAGTTATGCAACAACTCAATTAATGAATCTAAAAACCAGCTGAAATAATATTCCAGGATAGGTTAACAGCTATTTTGATATCTGAGTTGACAATCGAGTCAGAAAAAATAACATTGCAATCCCCTAATAAATAATTGAAGAGTGCATAATACATTATCAAGCTCACTCTAATAAAACAGAGGTGTAAAAAACATTGCATTTATTAGCTACAAAAGGAGGAAAGACAACAAAAAACCAAACGGTTGCAATCAGTCTTGTATCATTCTCTGAGCCATCTTGCCGTATCCACCCCTGTCTGCGTCGTAATCCTTACGAAACTCATCACGCACCTAAAACATTGGAATGCTCTTTAAGAACTAGGCACAGTGACACAACCTGCTCCAACGGTGAACGCTATTTCTGACATTACACACAAAAAAAATATTATCCAACACTCCACATTTGGTCAAAATTGGGAGCTAGTGTTCCATGATTGACAAAACTCGCCGAAAAACTGAGATAAAATCTGACAAAAGTGAAAATGAAGATACAAATAATCGAATAAGATCTTCAAACGGAAGGATAAAACAAACAGCAACGTCTGAAGGTAAATGACTAAACAATAACGAGGCAAACGGCAGCAAATGCCATAAAGCTGCTCCTAAGGTTCACAATAAAATAAACCCTAAGGCAGCGTCCGTGATTCCTTGCAATACTAATTTATTCAAAGTGCTATAAGTGAGTGAAAAGGAAAAGAGCGTACTCGGCATTCTAAGTAGACTACCGGGTTCAAATGATGCTGATCTGGACTATTGGAGTAAACACAGATGAACCAAACTCCACTTGGTGAAGATATAGAAGCAACACCACCCCGACAGAGTATTCACCCCAAAAAACCACATATAATAGAATTAATAATAACACTAAGGATTCTAAAGGACTACCACACACTCTTCATTTGATACACTGGATGAAAAAGATAATGATGGCTAACCTGACCACCACTTCTTCCACGACCGAACTGTCGACCCTCGACAAAACCGGCATCCCAATCGGTTCGAATAATTCGATCGTCGAGTCGACAGTGGTTGATATATCGCATTGCCATCTCAGCACCCTCTCTGTCCTCGTACTCCACAAAACAGAAACCACAGGGTGTCTTATCAACCCTGTGAAGGCCCATAATAACCCGGCGCACCTCACCAGCCCTACTAAAGAGCTCCCAAATCTGTTCTTCTCGAGTGTAAAAGGACAAATTGCCAACGTATAAAGTGGAAGATTTGAGGAGAGATTTATTCAGTTCTCGACTTGAAGCCTAGTAATGATAAGAAAAACCCACTTTAAGATTGCAAGCTTAGGCGGAAAAAAACCACTCGGCCAAAAACCTACATTATTTCGACGATCTCGATAAGACGTTTGATAAAAAGACTCATCTAAAACATCACAGAGAAATTTCGTCCTAGGCATAGCGAGACAGACGATTAATAAGATTGAATGGTTGCGGTGGGGTGGTAAATTTAAACGAAATAAGTTTTGATTAGAAGAAGCTTAACATGACTTTAGTACTAGTCAAATTAAAAAAAAGGAAAAAATTACAAAATACCTTTCATATTTTTTATTTTACAAATAAAATATTAAAAAACAAATTTTGAAAAAAATCATGAAAAATGTTTGAGTTTTTTGAAAAAGAGAGTTTAGTGGTGCTACTTCTAAAAATAATTTTTAGCACTTGTTTTGAATTAGGCCGTGGTTTTCATAGAAACATAGAATATCATGTGAGTTTCAAATTTGTGTAATTTTACTGACCATCTACTCACGAGTGACCTGATATACCCGTTAATAAGCTCTTTGCAATTATGGTTGTAGATCACCTTGTTTTGTTGGCCTTTTTTTGTTTAAATCCTAACAGCTCTTTTAAGAATGAAGAGAGTTATACATTTCTCAAATATATTATATAAGTAGTAGCAAGGTGTATTTGGTAAAATAACTCACTTTTTTGAACAACAGAATTTCGCACGGTTTTATCTTTTCTAAATTTAAATAGTCCTCGAGTATCGTAAAGGTGAACAAAATACGAAACTTGAAGTTTCGCGAAAAAAATAAACTTGTTGACCTTGGTTCTGTCTTATATTTACGTCTTGACAACCACTTTCAAAAAGCACGCTAATGCACGACTGCGCGTGTGCTGGCATTTCATATTCCACTTAAATTATCAATTATCCTGGGTAAAAACATGTATCCAAAGTGACAACAAATAGTCACCTCACAAGCTTTTTAAATAACCAAATGTCATATGAAATTTTCTCATAATTTCACTTCGTACTAGAAACGATTCTTATAGTAATTCCTATTTAGCCAAAAAGTCCCGGTCTCTGTTTATGTTTATGTTGCTTACATAGGAAAACTTATTTTAGACTGCTTTATCACCACAAATGAGGACTAATTTTCTGTCGATATTTAATCCACTCTCCTACAGATATGAAAACTCTACCCGATAGCTAATTATTATTTGCCTAATCTCGCAATGTACCAATATATCTAAAAAATCCAGCGATGTAAGTCACAAAAGGCAATGTAAAACTATATTGCATTGCATTAAGACATAGACCATTTCTAATTCATTATTTTATCGCTTATCGCTATGCTTTAATGATCAATCATGTCCTAAACCATTTATTCATTCTTACAGGTCTCTTATAATGGTGGCGCAAATAAGTGAAGGCAACTTTACATCCACAATCTACGGTTACATAAGAGAGAAGAAGTACGCCGAAGCGATTGAGTCGCTGAATATACAGCGCTACGCACATCCAACTTCAAGAGCTGCACTCTCTCTCCTCGCTTTCTGTTATTTTCAGACGCAGGACTTTGTACAGGCCTCAGATTGCTACGAACAGCTGTCGCAGTTATGCCCAAATCACCCAACCTACCGCCTCCACTTTGCACTCTGCCTTCACCGCGCAGGTCTTAATGAAGCTGCAATGCAGGTTGCTGCTTTAGTAGCCGCAGAGTCGGAGCAACCGGAGATTAGAGAGCGTGTCGTAAAGCTGCAGGCTGCCATCCGCTACGGCACTGACGATGTTGCCGGTGCAGCCGCCTTCGTTCACCAATGTTCTACTGAGGATCCCGATACGGGTATTAATATCGGCTGCCTTCTCTACCGAGAAGGAAAGTACAACGAGGCTTGTAAACGTTTCCAACAGTCACTATCAGTAAGTCTGCCAAACAAAACCTCTAGCCGTCCACTTTAGCCACACTTCCTATGACCCACTAATTTTCTAGATTGTTGGATTCCAATCTGCTTTGGCTTACAATGTGGCGCTGTGTTACTATCAAATGAAACAATATGCCCAAGCACTAAAATATATCGCGGACATAATTGAGAGGGGAATTCACGATCATCCCGAGTTGGGCGTGGGAATGATTACTGAGGGTTTGGAAGTGCGAAGTGTGGGAAACACAACCACTCTACATGAGACAGCTCTAGTAGAAACATTTAATTTAAAAGTAGGTCCGATTACAGCACACAAGGTGCTTTGTTAAAGCTGTATTATGACTGGAAACATTCTGTTGTAAAAAGGCGGCGATTGAGTACAACCTGGGTAACTTGATGGCAGCACGAGAGGCTTTGACAGACATGCCGCCGCGTTCAGAGGAAGAATTGGACCATGTAACCCTACATAACCAGGCCCTTATGAACATGGACATCGCACCTGCTGCAGGATTCCATAAACTTCAGTTCCTACTACAACAGCCCACATTTCCTAGGGAAACTTTTGCTAACCTCCTTCTTCTCTACATAAAATACGAGTACTTTGACCTTGCGGCTGATGTGATGGCTGAAAACACTGCTTTGGCCTTTGAATACTTAACTCCAGAATTGCATGATTTCATTGAAGCCGTAATCATGCGCCAGTCAGCTCCTCAGGATGCCTACAAGTAAGGGGTAGTGAATTTGCAAAAGTTCGGACTCTTTAAACATTCTACAGCGTTGCAGATTTAGTTGTAATCTGCTCATTTGATGTTCAAAGCCAAAATTACTTTGTCTTTTTAGTCGGCTCGATCAAATGTCAGGCAAATGCACAGAACATTTGCGAAATCTTACCAAACGGATACAGGAAGCACGAAAAGCACTGGATGACGAGGCATTAAAGGTGGCTGTGAATGAGTACGACATGACAATTGAAAAGTATATTCCGATTCTTATGCAGCAGGCAAAAATATACTGGGATGCCCAAAACTATCAACAGGTGTGTAACTAGCGGTTGTCATATACGTTGAGATAAAAATAGTAGAATTTGAATTATGCCACCCCTTTATACTACTGGGCACTTCTGAAGTTAGAATCTTAGAAACCACCTTAAAAACCGCCCCAAAAATGTTAATGCCAATGAGATGTGTGATGTTGTTTTCAGGTAGAGCGTATCTTTCGAAAGTCGGTGGAGTTCTGCAACGACCACGAGACATGGAAGCTGAACGTGGCGCATGTGCTCTTCATGCAGGAGAACAAGTATCGTGAGGCGAGCGAGTTCTACGAGCCCATCGTCCGTCGTCACTTCGAGTCTCTGATGAGCATTAGTGCCATAATCAGCGCCAACCTCTGTGTCACCTACATCATGACGGGTGAGAATGCAGACGCGGAGAAGTTGATGCGTAAGCTGGAAAAGGAGGAGGAGGCAGCAGCCTACGAGGAGGCTCCACTTGGACTTGGTGGCGGAGGAGGTGGAGAGCGGAAAGTTTTCCACCTCTGTATTGTCAATCTTGTCATCGGCACTCTCTACTGTACCCGTGGTAACTACGACTTTGGTATCAGCCGAGTCATTCGCAGTTTGGAGCCATACCAGAAAAAGTTGGGAACGGATACGTGGTATGATTGCACTGATGCTTCTGTGATCATTTTACTTGTAGACATCTGCCCCTACTTTTTTAGTTATCTCCCATAAGCTACTAGACAGGAAACCTGCGAAGTCGTCAATCGACTTCGCATCGGATACAAACACACCTCTAATGCACAACACTTTCTAGGTACTATGCCAAACGCTGCTTTTTGTCAATGATTGAGAATATGGCCAAACACATGATTATGATTAAGGACTCAGTGCTGATGGATTGCCTCGATTTTCTGGAGCATTGTGAAAGTAAAGTTTTGATACTTCACTTATCAGATTACTCTTTTTGTCAACAAAATTAAGAGCTTAACTTATGCATTGCTGTCTCCTTAGTATATGGGCGAAACGTTAAAGTGTTCGCCGACCAGCCACTGGATGGAGCTCAAATCCATCCTGGCCAGAATACAGTCACATACGAAGCACGCATACTGAAATCACTTCTGCTGGAAATTATGAATACCTGACTGTCTCGATACAGACTACCTTTTTTGATGCATCCCTCTCCATTAATAGTAAAATGTGTTTTGCCTATTCTCTTTAACCGTTCATTGCCTTCAGAGGATTCATTCTTCGGGCAAAAGTGCTCGGATACAAGTGCGTATCGATTATGATTTAAAATATGCAAGACAGTTTCTTTCGTTGGATGGTGAGAAAGATAAAAAGAGCCTAAAGTATTTGTAAATGTCGAACCTTTTCCACCGCCTTCGCAACCTTTCGTATGACAAAATTGGGCTACCACGGTCGACAGGTCAGGACAGAGACGATGCAATCACTTCTCCTCCAGCGGCTACCACTGCTTTCGTAGGAGGTAGCCGTCTGACACGAGGCAGAACACTGGCAAGCGAAATTGACTGGTATAAGCACAGAGTGGAGGCGCTAGTGCATTTCCTCGACCGAATGGCACCGCAGTGGTGGGACCACATGTATCCATTCGGCGAAAGTGGCAAATTAGTTCGACGACCTAGCCGTACCGCTGATAATCTTCGTGCTACACATAATCGTCTGGTTGCCCGACTGACACGTCTCACACCGCGAGTGATTGTATCGTCAACAAATGCTGTGATGTCAATTGAGGAGGCGGAGGTTGTTCCGATCCTACCACCGAGTCTTATGCGCGGCCGCTCTGCGACAAGAGCAGTGGAGGCACATGTGATTGGGATGGAAAAGCAACTGGCTATTGTATTCACTTTTGTACGACGACTCAGCGAGATTGAGCGCCTGAAGCAACAAATGATACTGTACACAATGGACTGGATCAAAGCAGACAGCAATGACCAGCAAATGCGTGCACAACGCCGTGGAAGGCTGGTCCAGCATGTACAGCCCTGCCTAATAGAAAATCACGAGGGCGTAGCAGCACTCATTCGACATTACTTTCGCAGACGATCATACCCCAAGAATGACGAGAAAATCAAACAAATTCTTGACTCGTCAGACGATGCCAAGATGCAGCTTAAGTACGCCTTCAGTGGGATCACCGCAGATAGTATTTGTTCTACAAATCGTCTTATAATGGAGCTCATAAAAACTAGCCACCTGGAAGGCATCTCGGGAGAAGCATTTGATGGAGAGACAGCGAAAATGACCAACCGATCTTCACAGCAACCACTTTTTGAAAACTTGATAGGACCTTCGATAAAGGAAGTGTATGAATGGACTAAGCGCTACAAAAGCGATGATGCAGATCCTACCAGTATATCTACTGAGTGGCTAAAATTTGGCAAAGCGGCCCTATTTGGGGAAACTTTTGGACCGAAGAGCATAAAATATGACCTTTACGATGTTTCGGAGGAAGAAAAAGAGGAGGAGGATGATCTGGTCGGGATTAGGCGACGTGTATTATCAGACCTGAGCCGACATGAAGGCAAGGCAACCTCAACAGGAGTAGTTGGTGATAGAGGCCAGCACCACCTGCACAAATCCATTTCCATGAATGTTAGACTTTCTGGAGACGAGAATTCTAATACTGCAGAGGGATATCGGTTAAGTAAATACAGATCAGGGAAAACACTGTAGAGTGATGCGCCTAAAAAAACCACCGCAAAATTGCAATCAACAACAAGAGGGTTAGAGTTGGGGTAAGGCTTCCGCTGCCTTGAAGCTTTCAACGCCAATAAGAGTTAAGTTTGAATCGGATCAATTCATTTACCACAAACTCAACGACTCCGTTACTCGACATTCAAACCATATCAATCTATTCATAAGGTCTATCTGTCTTGAAAGGAAAAAGCACATTGGAAAGTCTCTTGGTACTATCTCGATTTCCCACTTTTTGTCATCAAGATTTCATTCGATTACTACGTATTAAGGAAGCACATCAAATAAATCCATCTCAGTTTTGAAATGTAAATCAGTAATGACTATTGGTTGGGTCGTACAGACATTGAATGAAATTTTGGCAGCATTATAGAAGGAACCGTTGACTGAATCAAGAGTGCGTCCATAGCCTTCAAAATAAATGCTTAGAAAGTAGCGCGTTTGCATTTGCCTGGATGTGTGGTGATTTAAAAGTAGCATGAAACATTTCCAAATTGTCAACCCGGATTTGCGAGAATTAAAGCAGAACCAAACATTACAACTGCAAGCAATTTTGTGTATTGGCAAGCTTTTAAAACAGGTTTACAAAATTAAAAGCCTAATAAAAGAAGATAGACTAATGGCTTACTAAAATATAGAGGATCTTATAAAGAAGTGCCTTAACATTTAGTGCGAAAATCTAAACATGTCAGCCACACGATTGTGTTTTTAGAAAGTAATAAAAGTTACTACAAGATTATTCCCAATTCTTGCTTTGGATTTCGCAACGGTTGCTTTATAGGGCTCAAAAAACTCATAAATGGAAATGAGTTAGCAAAAGTTTTAGAGCAGTAAATTTAAATTTTTTCGGCATTTTATTTTGCAATTTTTAACTGCTGAAGAATGAAGGTCAAAAACGCAAAAAATTAATGACTGTAGAGGCAATGTCAATTTTTCACTTATCGGGTACTTTGAATGGATCAGAATAATGTCCTTGAGCTTTGTTCAATAACATGCTGGCCGTTATTGTTAATCAGTCGCGGTTGGCCTAGAAATGCAGCGTCCTGCTGTTAAATTCACACAGGTAAGTGCAGGCTTATTTGCATTGAAGTACAGCTGCAACTCTTTTGTTTACTGTCTGCGCACAATTTTTTGCAATCTGAAAGTGTTTACTGGTAAGCTTATAAAATACCATCCAATATTGATTGTGTGCCATTGGAAACAGTAACTGACTTCATCAAGTCGTTTATCACTGGTTGAATGATTTGTCTAATGTACATTTTTATTTTGGTGAAGTATTATGCTGTGGTGGACTATGTAGGAATTGGTTTTAAGCCTTTTAACTCTTCTCACCATATTTCGTTATTGGATGGTTGGGAAGCATTTGTTAACTGCTTTTTACCCTACTCCTTTTATACAATCATTAACAGCAAGCCTTATCGTGAGTAGTAAGCCAAACAAATAACTAATTAGCCCAATAATTTACTGTTGGTGGCATTAGCATTTATTTTCGATATATAATTGTTAGCTAGGGAAGAAATGTTTTAACTACTGTCGTACATTCATTTAACACATCGATTGGCCTAAATCTGACATAGTACTCCTTTTGCAGCGCACAATTTTCCCTGGTTTGGTCCTATAGGAGTGCACTATGTTATAGCCACTAGAAACCAATCGATATGAAGTGGTCTTGTGCTATCTTGCCAATACAAAATTCCACAGGTTTTATTAATGGATAGCACCTACTGATTGTTGTTTGTCAGCACTTACGAAATTTGATGACTAGTTCCGAACCCGTGACTTTGATTTTCCCTCCTTTTCATTGTGATAGATCTTCATTAACAATAAGTTTGTCAACAGTCTGTCGGGTAAGACTTTCGGAGTGGTGGATCCATCAACGGCGAAGGAAGTATGCCGCGTAGCGGAGGGTGATGCGCCTGACATTGATTGTGCAGTAAAAGCAGCTAAGGCGGCCTTCGTTCGAGATTCAGCATGGCGCTCCATGGATGCTTCACATCGCGGCCGTCTACTCTATCGGCTTGCTGACGCTCTCGCTGACAACATCGACTACCTTAGCCAGTTGGAGGCCATGGACGCTGGCAAACCTTTGGCATCTGCCCGGGGAGATGTGAATTTCGCCATCGACACCATTCGCTATTATGCGGGTTACGCGGATAAAATCCACGGCAAGGTGGCTTTACAGCATTCTTTTCTACTGCTTCAGTCCTAATTGTGACTAATGCTACAGTAGTTTGCACAATCCGTGGGTGGTACAGGATGCCTAGCTCAGACGGAATTATTGAGTTAGACCTGCGAATAGCCCCTGATTGGCGAGGTTTATATTTGTAAATGATAAAATGGTACATGATTTTATTTTGGCAAGGGCAAATTAATGAGTTTGATGCATAGAACTAGTAGCTTTATCTGTTTAAAAAATCGGTTTTGAAAATTTAACTGTTTTTGAGAATACGCATTATGAAAACTAGCTGCTGATGCTAAAGAATATGGTGTGAACGGTTGGATCCTTTGTGGAAAAACAGGAATACCTGGTTGGTCAGCATGAATGCATGAAAAGTTGTGATAAGCTTATCTAACTAGTTTAGGTGATCCCCTGTGACGGTGACGTGATCTGCTACACTCGAAGGGAGCCAGTTGGGGTGGTGGGCGCCATAATTCCCTGGAATTACCCACTCGATCTGATTGCCTCGAAGGTGGCTCCAGCTCTGTGCGCCGGCTGCTGTATCGTTGTCAAACCGGCTGAGGAGACTCCACTTAGCGCACTCTTCTTTGCTCATCTCGTTGAACAAATCGGTAAGCTATGGCATCCAGCCGTTGAGGTGTTCAACAAGACGCCTGTCATAGCCGCGTTAAGAACAACCTCAGTAGCTTTCCGATTAGTGAAAGTGATGGAGAATGGTTGAGAATGGGTTACTTAAAAATAAAAATTAATGTAGTTTACTTTGAAGTTGTTGAAGCCATTTAATGACCACGATGCTCTTGTGCGACCACTTCGATGCGCATACCATGCTTCAAGGCCTAACATTAAATAATTATTTTTACTGCTTTTATATCTCCAATGCCGAAGTTGATGCGCCCATTTCTGCAATTAGTAACTCAAACATTTTGAGGGGGGAGTGTTGTTTCTTTCACACCACCACTGCCAGCATCATAATTGATGCCTTCATTTCTGTAGGCGTTTAATAGCAGTTCTCACCTAACATCACCAACCAACGCATTAGCAACTACATAGGCAAGACAAAATGAGACAGAAAGCGTATATTCGTTGCAGGTTTCCCGGCAGGCGTGGTGAACGTGGTTCCGGGCTTTGGCGAGACGGCCGGTGCCGCGTTGGCGTGTCACCCCGACGTGAACGCGGTGACGTTCACGGGAAGCACTGCCGTGGGTCACTCCATCATGCTCGCCGCCGCCCCTACCTTTAAGCGTGTCAATCTCGAGCTGGGCGGGAAGTCACCGCTCATAATCTTCGCCGACGCCGATCGTATGCTTTCGCTACCTCTTGGTTCTGTCTGTCACCGTGTTACACCTTTTTCATTGCTTCGACCATTCCTTTAGTTGATGCGGCTGCATCAGTGGCGTTTGAGGGTGTGATGGAAAACGCTGGGCAGTGTTGTGTGGCAGCCACTCGCACTTTCGTGGAGGCCCCTGTGTATGAGGAGATGCTTGAACGTTTTTGTAAACTTGCTGAGCAACGCGTTGTTGGTGATCCGTTCAAATCTGGAGTTGAGCAGGGTCCCCAGGTACGCATCCACGTCACACTTGTCACTTCTTCCTCCAAACAGGTCTCATGCTACCCTTCAAGTAGTGTGGTGCATTAGAGTTTCGGCTGCTCAATATCTTTGATAATGGCCAACCATATTACTCTTCCTAATGGATTTGAAAGATTACGGTTCTTTGAAGGCTTTTTTGGCTATCCAAAGGCACTAATATGCAAAACTACGATTTCAGGTGTCATACCAAATCGAGTTTTTGAGTCTGGCAACAGTAATCTGTGGATGTTTAAACCCATCTTTGATTTGTTTCACCTCGAACTGTTACTTCAACATCTTAGGGGAAACTTTGTTGAGCATTTCTGTGATGCGTCCACTCACCTTAAAATGAGTTTAGGGCACTTGAGTTGCTGTGATTCGGCCTTCAATAGACTGGTTTTAATCAGCGTCAAATGTGATGGGCTGTATGTATGTGCAGTGTGTCAAAAGGTAAACAGAAGGCGTTTATTTGCAAACAAATGGCTTTTGCTTATCCTTAGGAGTCTAGTAAGCAGTCGTTTGTGGTGCTTTGCATTCTGTCACTTCCTGACAAATAGTTTGTTCAATGACACTTTCGACATGAGCTGCGATTCTCCTTTGCATTTCATTGCAAAATACAGTGTAATAAGTATTTTTTAGATAAATCAAACACAGTTTGATATGATCATGAAATTCATTGCCTCGGGTCGTGAGGAGGGCGCTCGTCTAGTGGCTGGTGGTGAACGTGTTGGCAACAAGGGCTTCTACATCGCACCCACCGTGTTCGGTGACGTAAGCGATGATATGCGGATCGCACGTGAGGAGATATTTGGACCGGTGCAGGTAGTGCTGCGGTTTCACGACCTTGAGGAGGTGCTTCAACGCGCCAACGCCTCACATTATGGCCTCGGCGGCGGCGTCTTCACCACCGACATGGACAAGGCCCTTCGTGTTGCACAGGCCCTTGAGGCTGGCACCGTTTGGTATGTCTACTTCAATCCCTCTCATTAATATGATCATTTTATTTGCCTTAGGATCAACAGCTACAACACCTCGCCTGTGATGCAGCCGTTTGGAGGCTACAAACACTCAGGAATCGGTCGAGAAAAGTAAGCCAACAAATAATTTCAAACCGATTTGACGATCCTTCCAATCCAGCCACTTTGACTAATCATTTAATTTGCATTCGTTTTCTGAAGCGGAAAAGACGGGCTCAAGTTTTTCACCGAAGTGAAGACGGTTTCAATGCCAATTTCAAAGAAGAATTCGTAACGCTTTGCGCCCTCATCAGCATCTTATTGTTGGAACTTGAATCCACTTTGTAAATCTGCTAAATGACCACTCAAGTGTGATCCTGGTATTTGCGAATAAATTCAAAAGTTTTGGGGAATGTTCCTGTGTAAGGAAAGCAGGTCGGTATTGTGGGGTGCTTTTGAGGTGTCCATGAGGTGGTAAAGTTCATTATAATCAAATCTGAAACTTCTAATCGAGGGTCGGAATTGTCTAATTGTAATTTTGTGTTGATGGGTTCGTTAACTCTGTTAAACAGCAATAGAACAGGAGTTACGGATGGGGTCAGGATAGGTCTTGAGAGTCTTGCATGCCTCATCATTGGTTTTGATCCCCCAGCGCCCACCTTGATACTGCCAGCAAGGTAAAAACGTTGCCAGCAGTGGAGGATGGGGAGAGGGTGCTGTTTCGGGTCTCGAGTAAGAGGCTTATACAGAGGGAGCCAATAGGGTGTCCACGCCCATTCAGTACGTCTACTCGGCATTCAGTGGTGTTTGAGAAGTTGGAGGAGCTTGGGACAATGCCCTTTGCTTTAGCTGATACTCCGCTGGCCACCAAAATAGGACCACTGCTAATTTGTATTATTACAGCTGTTTAAACTTCGCGAAATACTTAGAGAATACAGCCCATTATCTGTCGAGAAATCATGCAGCGCCCCAGGACCTCCCCAAACAAGACGCAAGAAGACATCATACTCGGGCAGAATATATATATATATTGTTGTCATACAGCAGGAATTGGCATTACTGGCATGGCCCTGAGGTCAGCCCAAACACCCTGCAAAGGTAAAATAGTAGAGCACGCAAGTAGCCTCATTTAACAAAGCAGAGAGTTAGGCAACCAACCAATGCATTACAAAGCTTTTCTCCTCAGCGCTGCCCTTGGTCAGCATCACGCGACAGTTATCACAAAGCAGTTGGTGCCAGAGAAAAAAACACGTACGAGCCAACCGTGCTAGTTATCGAATTTCCATGCAACCAAGACGATACATGATGGTGACGACAGTCGTAGTGGACCACTCTGTGCCTTCAGCGATGAATGCCACAGTCAAGTACGCACGCGCCGCATTGAGCCCAAATCACTTCTGCACTCTACCCGAGACATTATCAAGCAAAATCCCAAGTAAACGAAGGTAGCTAAAAACAGGACAAAAGAGGACACTTCACATCCTCCCATGCCTCCTTCACCAACCAAAATCATGAAAAGACCTGACCATATGGCATAACAGCTCCACGCCATCAATAAATTAAATAAATTAGACATATGGTAGCTGATGAAATGCATAGCATTATTACCTGAACGAGGTACAAAAAATGCCTGACACGAAGTTAGCAATCAGTTTGGCCTGATAATACCTCCATGATCATCAGATGATGTTCCATTTGAAACACACACTCATGCCGAATTGAGGGCCCAAGACGTCACTGTTTCAAGTAAAGACCAAACATTTGTTATAATTGGACTTCTTTGAACGAATGATGTCTCTCCAGCCAAAACCCTACCGTCACAAAAATGCATAACAAACCCAACCCGGCAACGATTTAAAGTAAACACTTATGGAATTGTCCATCATAACAGATAAGCGCGATTCTGAACTTGTCTCATAACCAAAGTAATAAAGCAAAAAATATCACGATTGTTTTATTTACTTGGTGAAGCAAGAGTGGTGCTCCAACGCTTCTACTCACACACATTTGCATCCATTTATTCGTATTTATTTCCCTGTTCACGTAAATATATGCAAAAGATTACTTTCTGTGTGCAAATATTTTTTTCAATTAAAACATTGCCCTCAATTTGAAAAACAACAGCCAACTTCTGCAACAATCAAGAATTGTAAAATGACCAAAAGCTATAGTATCGGGTTAAATATAATTCCCAAACAGTTTTGTTGCGAATTTTGGCACTACTATCATCCTACTCACCTCACGATTGTTTGTATTTCTAAACTTTCCACATTCATGAACTAAACAAATCATGCTTACAAGGTTATTGCTTGCCTGTGTAACTTCCTGCATTCTGTAGATGGGACATCGGACAAGGTGAATTGAATGCGAGACTTTGTTCATTTGGTGGCTACAATAATTGGGCAAGCGAATTGCAAGGTGGTATAATGACGAGCGTAATGAATGCACGTTCTTATGCACGCAGTGCTCTATCTCTATCTTTGTGATTCATAAGAATTAATGAATGAATGTAGGTCTTTGGAGAGCATTTGTGGGTACTCAATTGACATAACATGTAAAAGCATACCATTTGATGTCTTGACCTTATCCCTGTGGTGGAGGTGAATTAAACCATGCTAAAATGGGAGCAAAATGTAATGCCAATTTTCAAGTTCAATTAGACCATGAAATTCTGGTTCTTCTGCAACACAATGCTGCATCAGCCTGATACGAGTATTCGGGTGTACTGCCATATAGTGTGAACGAGCGTTTTCAAACACGGCTCTTGTGGGAGTACTAAAATGGGCACACAAGTGGGAAAGTGTGGAGGGGAGGTGTTGTTTCTACTGACTACTTATAAGTAGGTGGTGGGTGTTTGCAACGATGTCCAACACTCATCTCTCTACCTATCGCCATCCCTACCTCCCTCCCTTCCTTACCTCCGTCTCTCCCTTCCCAAACCCCTTTCGTGTGTGAATGAATTAGCCCGAGATAGCCGTCGTATTGATAACAAAGTGATGATGATGATGGTGGTGAGGGGGAGGAGGAGCATTACAGCCAAGCCCACGGAATAAACGATGTTAAATTTTAAACATTTTTATTGCTGTTATGCAATTCATTTGTAATTTAGAAGTAATACAATGAAAGATTTACATCGTGCATAGCCGCATGCTTAGCACTTTGCAGAGAGCCATGCCTTTCGTTGCTCTTCTTCTGACACATATTTGCATGGAATTATGTAGTAGTTGCAAGTTTTGCGTTAGGAAACGCTACCAGTCACTATAAACTTGTCAACTCTGCATCCACACTTGTGCGAATTGTAGTCTCCAAAGTAGAAATGACCAAGGGCGCACTAACTGTTCCCTAAGCAATATCTCTCTCTCTGTCCTCCTATCTCTGGTGGGCTGACCCCTCATCTTAACCTCTGCCCAACTTTTTAACTTTACAAATTTTTACAGACTCCGCTTTGCGTCAAGCACCTTATTTGAAAATGATGTATATTTGTTCACAAATGGAGGTCAGGAAGAGCATCAACATTGTTGGCATATTCCAAAAATGCCTCCATTTACGGCCAAGGTTGGTAACCATTCTATTAAATGCCTTCACCCGACTGCTTGCATTGACACTGGCGTTTGAATCTCAATTCGTCCGGCTTGCGGCAATGTGGCGGGTACAGCAAAAATCCCCTATTCTGTATAGCGCTGTCGACTACGAGGGCCTGCAATTAGCTCACCCGCCAAGGCCAAGGCCACGTGTTAAGCGGCGCCTCGGATTGGCCTGCCTTGCGCCACTCACCAAACGGCTTTCATCGTGTGGCCGAGGCACCAATCAAATGACACCTCTTCATGTTAGCAATGCGGACAGCCATAGGACTTGGCGACGTACTCACAAATCATTTCTTTCTGCCACATAATTGTCCAAATGCGGTGGTACCCACTCCTCCTCACCCTCTTCCTCTTTCTCACCCTCCTGACATTAACGAAGGGCGAGTTGTATAGCTTCCAAATGCCCGAAGAGGTTCCCACCAACACCGTGATTGCAGACCTTCCCAGCCTTTTCAATATTCCTTCCATGAAAGATTCGCCTAATGTCAATTACCGATTCAAAATTCTCACTCCTAACCCCATCTACCACCAAATGTTCGCAATTGATCAGCGCACGGGAACCTTGCGTACCAACGGTCCAATAGACCGTGATCAGCTATGCCAACGGGCAGAGCTCTGCTGCACGATGATGATAGTGGGTCAACACGATACAACCAGCACTCACGATGTCAAGGTGGTGGGAATGGAGGCTCTGCAGTCGAAACTGGGGAACCACATAATTTCCACAGGACTGAAATGCAGCTTGGACTTTCGTATCGCCTTCAGTTCGAAGCCTACCGGATTTCCCACTTCCTTCGCTTCCATTCACATTGATCTTTTGGATCTTAATGACAATGCTCCTAAGTTTACGGGCCTAACAAGCGCACAAATCTCGCGGAACTACGATGGTAGCCTAATGTATATTGCTTCCATTCCGGAGGGTGCACACATCGGCTTTCAATTACCACTTCCCTTGGCCCAAGACGGTGACGCTGGGTCGTTTGGTGTTCAAGGCTACAAGCTAGAAGAACCATCTAGTCAAATGCGATTGGAGATGGACCCTCGTTTAATCTACACTTTCCCCTTTGAGCTTATTTTACCACGTCGTGACGATGGGGTAATACTACCGAAGCTGGAATTGCGTGAGCCTCTTGATTATGAAAAACGACAAGACTACTATATAACACTCGTTGCCTTTGATGTTGATCAACACTTGCCACATTCGGCTGAAATTCTCGTTCGAGTTGATGTGCTAGATGAGAATGATAACCAGCCCAATGTGAGTGTCCGTACCCGTCTGCAGGGCAGTTTCGACGCCTTAACTGCGGGTAGTGGGCGTGCTCAAATCCACATTCGTGAGGATACACCAGTTGGAACATTGTTGGCCAACTTTGAAGCTAGAGACGCAGACAGTGGGGAGAATGGTAGGGTCACTTTTGCTTGGGCAGAAATCATTCCACCAAGAGTTCAGCGCCTCTTTGATCTTAATCCCACGTCTGGAGAACTTCGTCTTGCTGATCGTCTGGACTACGACACTCTGTCTAAGTCGTCGTCAAATCAAGGCTTTGAAGCCTACAATCTTGTGGTCGTTGCTTCAGACGATGGCAAGCCGAATCGGCTCTCCACATCTGCAAGTATTGTTATTGAGTTAGTGGATGTGAACGACGAGGAGCCGAAAATTACTCTAATGGATCTGGCTAACCGCAGTCCCACGCAGTTGGAGGTATTGGAGAATGAAGAAAGGGACACCTTTGTGGCTTTGGTGACTGTGCAGGATCTGGACGGTGCAAACGGACCGAATGGACAATTTTACTGTACTATAAATAGCACTTTCTTTCGTCTGATCGCTGCAGACACCTTCGCGGGACATAAAGTGCCGCCACTGCCAGGAATACTGTCAACAGAGCATGAGGAATTGGCCTTCACAGAAGGTCACAGCTCTGTTTTCGGTGCTGGGAGAGCTGAATTCCAGTTAGTCACAACCACCAGCTTTGACCGAGAGCAGACTGCAGTCCACTTCGTGGCCATACGGTGTCAAGACAGGGGATCACCTTCGTTAGAGAGCCAGGTTGGTTGCCACCTTTTGGCACAAATGTCATTTAAATGGATTCTCCATCCAACTGAAATGCACTTATTTGAACTATTAAAAGTAGTGGGGAGGAGTAGTAAGAGCCGTCTTTAATGCTGCTGTTTCGCAGCTCTTCTAAAATCTTTTTTTTGCCATGAGCTGAAATACCTGAATGTGCAAAAATGCAAATTTATCCAAAAATAAGTCGAATATGCATACTCAACCTTTCTGATGTTGGGTTATTTTTTCACTTTCGTTGCTAGCGATGGTTTTATTACTGAATCTACAATAACCTTGCTTTCTTGGAAATGTCGCCCGTTTCCCACCCTTTCATAATGCAAGCATTTGCCAGCCTATGTGTAAATACTTGAATTTTTATTCTTCTTTCAATATCAGATTATCACTCATTACTACTAGTGGTGTGGTAAAAAGTCTCTTTTGCTGACAGCAAATTCGCCCCTCTCTCCACGGATAGGCAAAAGTGATGATTGATACAGATTTGGGATGTTAGTTAGCCAGCCAGGTGTTGGGCGAAACTTGGAAATCGGCAGTGGTTCATGCGTTTGCCGGTTAATCTAATTATGCATGCTGGGGTGTTGATGGCAGAACCAACACTGGACTGGATGCAAATTTCACCTCCGGCCGTGTCTTTGTCGTGCCTCAATGAGTAATCGCTCCATACCGCTCCCCCGCAAGCATTGAAGTCACCTTTCAGCAACGATTTCCTCATTCGCCACTAATTGAACCCTCTTTGAAGCAAAGCTGAGTCCACAGTAGTATCCCTTATCAGAAGAGGTGAATGTCGTGTAGCAGTGTAGGCACATTCAAAATAAGGATTACCATAATTGCTGGGAGTAGGCTCTAAACTATTTTCTCTTTCCTTACTGAAAAATTCGTCAACCGGAAATGCGATTTAATCTTTGCAGAGACCTGCTTAAGCCTCCTTCCGGAAGCAGCGTTTAGTCAACTTGAGTATTTTCTTTTATTAACATACATTGTCTCGGAATTCTACAGCAAGAATAGAGGATAAATGAAAGTTAAACCAGCATCTTACGATTCTGCCTTGCGTTGTTGATGGAGGCTCGATTGTGCTAAAACAGGTATTTCCTCCTGCACTTAATGTATCAAAACACTGGCATTAAAATCGTAATTAACAA